TGCTGGACCCACCCTGCCTCCTTCTCTCTCCCCAGAGTCCAGCCCAAGTTTGCCGTGAAGGAGGCTCTGCACTGCACTGCCCCCTCCCCACTTCTCCGGAACAAACAGAACAGTCTGAGGGCTTCAAACCCGCGCTGCGGCCTGACCTCACCTCCGTTTCTCTAGACCACTTCCTCTTCTCCAGCCATGGGAGACAGGGCATCCTGGACCCCTCTTCTGCAGTCTCTGGGGCGCCCAGCTGTGAACAGAGCCCATCGGGACTTGTGAAAGAGGACTCATAATTCTGTCTTTGGCACTCCTGGGAGCCACATCCTGCGTTCCCTGGGCTCCCCTCTCCCTCCTCTGTTCCCGGGTCTCCTCCTGCCTCAGCTGCTGCCCTGCTGGGCCTGCCCTGCTCCTCCCTCCCCTTGGCTCCCACTCCGGTGCCCGACTCTCAGGGGTGTGGCTGTAGCGCCCAGCTTCTGCACTCGGGTCAGGCGGGCGAATGGCGACACCAGTGCAGATGAGCTCAGGCCACGCGGGTGGGCTCCAGCTGCCCTCACCGACACATCAGGCTCCAGCAGCGGGAACAGAAACCGCCTGAGAAAAGCCTCTCAGCCGGCCCGGGGATTCCTCCAGGGAGCGCCTGCTTCTGCCGACCATGGCTGAGAAGGCAGGCGCTGGGATTGCTCACCTGCCTGCCCCAGCGAGCTCTCCAGCTGCCTCTGAGCTGAGGTCCTGAGGGGCCCACACTGCCTGCCCTGAACAGCCCCTAAGTTTCCTCCCATAACCCGCTTATCAAGATGGTCAAATGCCTCAGCACTGGAGTGGCTGAGGCTGGAGTCTGAAATAAAACAGATTTAGAGTTAATCCTTCATTTCCGCCATTCTCGGGCTTGCTGAGGAATGAGGCTCGGAATTCTCAGGGGTAAAATGCAGAGGAAAAAATATCTCAGAGTGGGGTTGTGAGGAAGAACTGAATCTGCACTCTGCATACCTCACTTGGCACCACGGTGGGCGCAAAACCTTGCTCTTAGCTGCGGTGTTTGAGTCTCACCGATAGAATTCAACTCATGGGCAGGCCGTGTGCTCCTCACCAGCCCAGTGGAACAAGTCTTGCTGTTAACTTAGCTCAACTGTAGCAGTCAGCGAAACCAGACTCTCCTAGAGTTTGATCGGTGCTTTTTATCCTGTTAATGGCAGAGAGACTGGGGGGATTGTGCTACATCGTTGTTCAGAGTAAGTTCCAAGGACCAGGCTTCTAGTCTCTGTCCCAGGTTACTAGCTGTGGCTTCTCAGGAGATCTGTTTAGCTCCCTGCACATGGGCTGCCTCCTCAGTACAGCGGGAATCCTGGAAGCCACTGACCTCTGGTGACCACGTGGCAGGTTAGTGACCCTGCAAAGCCCCTGGCCCCCGTGAGGCGTTCAGCCCTTGCCTCTCTCGGTCCTGTCCTGCTGGTGATCCCTGTGTGACGGGCAGGGCTCTGGGGACACAGGGAGGCAGCAGCGTCCGAGGAGGGAGACTCCTCACCTTCAGACAGGGTGGCTGTGCGCCCTGAGGGGCTGAGGACTTGGGACCTGGCCACCGGAGGTCCCGACAGCAGGTGGGACGAAGATGGGACCGGCCTCTCCGCCGTCACATCCTGGCCTGCTCCCTCCTGACATTCGGCAGGAACAGTAAGTACTAACTGCGGGTGCCTCGCTTTCCCCTGAGAAGCACAGCGCACGCGCTGGGGCCACTGGCTGCGCACATGTTGGCCCCCAGCAAGCCGGGCAGGGTGGGAAGGAGAGGCGGCCCC